TTATCAAAATATTATTTTTTTAAAAAATGGTAGACAAATAGGATTTGAACTTAAGATTTTATACATACTATCTCAATCTCCACCACTAAATTAATCCTAATAATTTAATAATATTTTTTAATATATTAATTAGGTTTATTATGTAAAAATTTATTAAATTGATTCGTATATGTATAAACATTATCGATTTGACCCATAAAATTATTAATTCCCTTAAATATTTTTAATTTAATTTTTATACATGTAATACTTACTTAATCTGATTCCTATACAATTAACACATACTTAATTTGATCCACGATTAACATGTTCTAAAAAATATTATAATAAATATAAATAAAAAATAAATAATTAACACTACATTAAAAAATTAATATCATACTTATATTAAAAAAAACATTCAAACACATCACTTGTTAATATTTCTTTTTCAACGGCATTATCTTATTAATTATATTAGTAAAGAGCATAATTATTATATTAATAAAAAAAAGTATAATCAAGCTAAAAGCCAGAGTGCAAGATGAATTTTGAATGGAAAGTTGCATTTGCAATGATTACATTTACAAACTAGATAAGTTTATTATAACTTTCCAACTAATTAGCTCTACCTTGGAGTTGTAGGTCTTCCAAACCCACCAAAACAAATTCTTAAAAAAATTGGAAATTCAAGTTGATATCAATAAAACATATCCATATATCATTTAACATTGATCTAAAGTGGTCTGTGCAATTCTACATATATACTTTTTTATGTATGTGAGATGTTTTAATTGTACATTAAACACGTGGAAATTCTTTGAAGCTTTTGGTATCACGTGAGTCCAATATTTTAAGATTTGGTATACCAAAAACCAACATAATTAAATATTTATTATTGCTTAATTTTTTTCTTAAATTTCAAGCAGATTAATTTAATAGATATATACTATTACTGAAACACTTGCAACCAATTAAAAGTCAATTATAGTGTAAGCTTTAGGATGATTATTATCGTGATAGTTTGTATATTTGAATGATATATAATATAAAAGAATTTTGTAGTGTGCATATCATTTTGCTCTTTTAACTTAATAGATAATTATTATAATGGTACAGGTGTCTATCTTTTGCTTTAGGGTTAACTTATTTAAGTCTTGTTTGGAGTGGATGTGGTGCACGATTTTAGTTTTTTATTTTCAAACTTTTAAAATTGCTTTAGGCTTAACTTATTTAAGTCTTGTTTGGAGAAGGTGTTGTGCACGATTTTAGTTTTTTTGTTTTAAAACCTTTAAATTTAAAAATAAAACTTGTTTGAATAAAAGGGGTTGAAATGGTTTTTAAGTGAATGTCAAAAATCATTTTAACTCACTTTTGGAAGAAAAAAAAACATTAAAAATCTAATTTTATGTTTTTTGAAATAATATTTTTCTTTTTAATATTTTTTTCTCATGTTTTCACCCTACTTAGTCTTCTTCATCCCATTTAGACTTTGTTAGAGATGAGTCCAAATAATAAAATATAGGATTTGTACTTTAAATTTTTAGCACAAATTAAAACCCTAATTCTTTTTAGTTGACTTAGTTTCGTATATCTTAAATCAAATATGATAACTTATGAATAAAAAAATATTTTTACACCATCAATTACCATCGAGAAAAATGAGAAGAAAAATCCCGATAAATCATGTTTGAAAAAAAAAATAGTAATGATTGCTTAAATTTTCACTTTTAGAGTAAAATAATAGTGAGTTACTTATGAGTTATTTAAATGTGATATGATAATGTAAAATCTAATGCTTTTATTAATTTTTTGTTTTTAGTTATCGAACAAATTTTATTTAGTTTTAACACAGAAGTTTTTTTTATGAACAAAATTTTTTAATGCCAAGAACTAAAATATTAATAGGAGAAAAAAATTCAAAGGTTAAAAATAAAAATTGGTAAAAATCATGGAGACTAAATTTAGTAAACAAAATTGTTGATTAACTAAAAAGCAAAAGTGATAAAAATAAATATATTATGAGTTTACTTTTATAGCTGGCTGGTTCACCCTCATCCTCTTGCATGCTTTGCTGGTTAGCTTCTAAATAAATGGCATTTTATTAGTTAGATCTCAATATTAGTAAAACATTCTTACGATATCATTTATTTAATTTAATATGATAACGTGGTGCAGCAATAAATGGCATGTTATAAATTATATGCAATAATGGCTTTTCTGGAGAAGGTTTTGTTGACGAATGGTGATTGAATATGGCCTGTAACTCGCTTTGTCTCTAAACAAATTGCATGTGCCAATATAATATCAAATTATGGTTCTTTCAAGTTTCAGCTGCGTAAGTGAAATCGCATGTGCCATATAGTATTGTTGGTCAACCAATAAAGAAATTTATTAGCCACGTTTTGATCGATAATTATTTGAAATAGATAGGTAATCACACCAATTATTTTTACACCCTATATAATATAATGTTTTGGAAAAATCATTTCAACTGATCAAAGTTGAACTAAATGATATATATATACTTATAAAAAATAATCATTATATTATTGGAGACTGAATAAATATACATTTAAATAATTTTAATTAATTATGTCATCATCAAAAACAAATTTTTTTTAATTATTATGACACATTCAAAAAAGTTTTTTTATTAAGAAATAATATTTAAATACCGAAACAATTATTATGATTGTTGTAGTATGAAAATAGAAGAATATTTACTTTTGTTTGTATAGATAAAAAAAACAATAAAGATAATATTTTTTTGTTAATATTGTAGTATGATGATTAAATAAAATGATATTACATAAAATAACTTTGTTAATATTGTTATCTAATGTAATTAAAGTTATTTTAGTAATGTAAATATCAATTATATTAGATTACAATATTAACAAAAAAATATTAAATAAAATAAATAGTAGTTGTAACTTATATGATATATTCATATATTTTTTTAATATATTAATATTATAATTAAGTAACTTCTTAATATAGTTTTATTAATAATTTTATAATTTATATTTTTATTTAATTTTTTTACAAAAATTTTATTTAAATTATAAACATAGTAGTGTTAATAATTAATATTATATCACTTATCAGTCAATAAATATTAATTATTGAAATGTAAATGTAGCAATTATTAATATTAATTTATTTTAATTTTAAATTTAGTAGCTATTAGTTAATATGTTTTATTAATATGTTTAGTTCATTTGCTAATAAGTTTTATATTTTCAGATATTTGTTTAGTTTTAATAATTATTTAGTATCGGTTTATTTTATA